GGGATCCTAACCTCGCTGAGGAGCCAGCCAACCACTCATACCATGACAAGCAGCTAGAAGTGATTTCTCAGCGGTCAGGCATTCTATTTCCTAATCATCCAGGTTAGTGGTTTATGTGCCCCCTCTCATTTCTGCTCTCCTGAGTTCTAAGTTCCTCCTTCTCAATTAAGTTCCTTGTAAGATCTTGTGTCGTTTATGCCAGTTTTAGATTTAGTTGTTGCGCATTTGTGTTACGCAACCATGTCCTGCATATATGTACTATGTTAGTATATGTTAGTATGTTACCCATAAATCTTCACAATAATATAGTGAATTATGAGTAGATCTGATGGATGTGGATCTTCGTCATGACTCGATGGATCGAAGCTAATTAGTTGGATGCAACGTGAAGGCATCTAATTAAGATGTATCAATTTCGAAATATGACATGCTTCTCATTAGTTTTTCGCCAATTTGAAACAATACCAAACTGGTTAATCAGTTACCCAGATACAACATTTGTATTGTGGCTCTATAATAACTACAAATGTCCATTAGCTGCTAACAATAGATAGATCTGCTGCTAACCTGCTACGCCAGAATCATCGCTGTCTTCTTGGTTCGTCTACTGTGTGAGAGTCCTCCCTTCGTCATTGTAGTCCATGTGAGCACCAAAAGAAGATTAGCTAGGGTCGACACAACCATAGGAGGGAAAAAAGCCCGGAGTAAGAGGTCACTTGATGTAGAAAGTCACCAGAGACAGCGACGCGGGGGTAGAGCTTTCTCCTCCAATCTATAAGTTCTGGACCCTGATATTGCCCGAACTTCAGATTCGGGAACGAACGAAAACGTTCGCTGCGAGGGAACTCCTAGCACCAACGATTTCATTCGATCTGGTTCTCTAGTGGCGTGAACAAAGATCTCAACCCCGGTCTCTGCTAGGCCTCCTGGCCCAGCGAATAAATGTCTAGAACTATTTAATATACAAAAAAAAATCAGAACGAAACAGGCCTCCTCAACAGAAAAAGGTTCACTGCTTGTGCAAAAAAAAGGTACAACACCCAACAAACATTAAGCAACAAAGTGGAAACCCATGCAACAGGTTTGATGTGTTTAAAAAAATGTGTGTACATAATAAATGACATACATAAAAAATACAAAAAATGCCATAACTTAGGAACACACATCAATTTTTTTGCTTAATGTTTGATGTGTTTGATCAAAGTTGAATGTTGAGATATGCGCATGCTTTATTCATTGGAATAGAGGGACTAGAACTAGGTATGGAGGAACCAAGGTGGAGGGACCATTTTGAAATAGTTGAGCTCTGTTCAGACATGTTCCCATTCAAAAGTTGGACGGACCAGTCAGCAGTCCTGTTCAAAGCGCGTCGACTAGATTAAGTTCTATACTACCAAATGCGTGCAATGAGACACATTGGTAACATGTGATTCCAAGTTAAATTACATGCAAAGTTGCAACTTTCAATGCCTTTGTCGACAGTCTCTAAACTATGTATTAATCAGCATCCAAAAGTGAATGCTGCAACCATTATGTATACACAATATTTACTAATGAAGTAATGATGTCTCTTAAGTTAACAGTAAGAAGACTACCTTGCCAAATTACTAATGATGCATCCTCACAAAAGCAGTAAGAAGGCATATAATCAGTAATCAAGACGAGTGAGTTAGTACTCCTACTCACTCTAGATTTCACTGAGCTTCTGCTACTCACTCTGGACTCTGGAGTTCAATTTCAGTGTGTGCGTGGGTTGCTCCATCTGAATCCCAAACATACAATAAACTTTACAGTCCTTTAATTCGAACCAACTGTCCTTCACCCCAGCTTTCAGACCGAGGGATGTTGAAGGCAAGATTGACTAGCTTTTGAGATAGATCTACACATACAATACACTTTACAGTCGATTGGTTCTGTTAGAATTAAAATCTGATACGTAAGTCAAACCTATACAATCAGTGCTGTTAGAACTGAAATTCAATATGTAAATTCAAACTTCAACTCGAATCCTTTGGGGTTAGTCAAAATTTCTCTCGCACTTCAACAAATCCTTGCCTGTGAAATGTTATTATAGAGTGCCACTTGATTGATTAACTTACAACAACGAAGCCTGATCTGCATGCTTATTGGCTGGACAATCTTGTCACCACATGTGCCCTATACTGTATTCTCACCCCATTTTTATTATGGACATGGATCAGATCATCAGAGTCACCTCCATCTATTTAAGAGCAGCTGGATGGATGGGATCCTAACCTCGCTGAGGAGCCAGCCAACCACTCATACCATGACAAGCAGCTAGAAGTGATTTCTCAGCGGTCAGGCATTCTATTTCCTAATCATCCAGGTTAGTGGTTTATGTGCCCCCTCTCATTTCTGCTCTCCCGAGTTCTAAGTTCCTCCTTCTCAATTAAGTTCCTTGTAAGATCTTGTGTCGTTTATGCCAGTTTTAGATTTAGTTGTTGCGCATTTGTGTTACGCAACCATGTCCTGCATATATGTACTATGTCAGTATATGTTAGTATGTTACCCATAAATCTTCACAATAATATAGTGAATTATGAGTAGATCTGATGGATGTGGATCTTCGTCATGACTCGATGGATCGAAGCTAATTAGTTGGATGCAACGTGAAGGCATCTAATTAAGATGTATCAATTTCGAAATATGACATGCTTCTCATTAGTTTTTCGCCAATTTGAAACAATACCAAACTGGTTAATCAGTTACCCAGATACAACATTTGTATTGTGGCTCTATAATAACTACAAATGTCCATTAGCTGCTAACAATAGATAGATCTGCTGCTAACCTGCTACGCCAGAATCATCGCTGTCTTCTTGGTTCGTCTACTGTGTGAGAGTCCTCCCTTCGTCATTGTAGTCCATGTGAGCACCAAAAGAAGATTAGCTAGGGTCGACACAACCATAGGAGGGAAAAAAGCCCGGAGTAAGAGGTCACTTGATGTAGAAAGTCACCAGTGACAGCGACGCGGGGTAGAGCTTTCTCCTCTCCATTCTATAAGTTCTGGACCCTGATATTGCCCGAACTTCAGATTCGGGAACGAACGAAAACGTTCGCTGCGAGGGAACTCCTAGCACCAACGATTTCGTTCGATCTGGTTCTCTAGTGGCGTGAACAAAGATCTCAACCCCGGTCTCTGCTAGGCCTCCTGGCCCAGCGAATAAATGTCCAGAACTATTTAATATACAAAAAAAATCAGAACGAAACAGGCCTCCTCAACAGAAAAAGGTTCACTGCTTGTGCAAAAAAAAGGTACAACACCCAACAAACATTAAGCAACAAAGTGGAAACCCATGCAACAGGTTTGATGTGTTTAAAAAAATGCGTGTACATAATAAATGACATACATAAAAAATAAAAAAAATGCCATAACTTAAGAACACACATCAATTTTTTTGCCATCATTGTAAATTTGCACACTTCTTTGTAAAAAAAATGATGGCCCTTTTACAAAAAAAAGTGTCGTTTTTGTATAATGATGGCAAAAATGATGTGTAATCACCATGCTACATACAAACCAATTTCGACGATACATCAACTAAATTGCAAAAAATGGGTTAAAAAAAGTGAATGTCATGAGAATAGAATTTTCCATGAGCATTGAACTAAAATTGCAATGATACATAAAACGGAAATTCGTCATGATCCACGAACTAAATTTGGCATGCATAATTATTAAATTTACCATGGTGCATAAACTAAATTTGTCATGGTCAATTACTAAAGTTGCCGTGATCCATGAACTGGATTTGCCAGGGTCGATTACTATATTTACCATGGCGAATTACTAAATTTGTCGTGAAATTTTTTGCCTTGGCAAATTGGTTGTATTGTACCATATGAATTGGAGACATGCCTATTGCCATGGCAAAAAAATTGGTTGTATGGTACTAAAATTGCCATGGAGATTTGCCAAGGTTGTATGTTACTAAAATTGCTGTGGAGATTTACAATGGATGTATGGTAGTAAAAATTGCATGGCAAAAAAATGGAGGCATGCCAATTCCCACTATCCATAATGTACATTTGCCATGTTCAATGAACTTAAATTGCCATGGTCCCACAAGTTTTTTTCACCATGTTGCAAACAATGTTTTTCCATGGCAATTACATAGTTGGAGAACAAAACTTAAACATAATGGCAAAAGTATCAGAATAGATTTGCCATGTCAGAAGAATATAGCTAAAAACAAGCTAATGATGCTATCTAGAGGACAACAAAAACGGAACTACCACGAGGCCTCCGCCGTGTCCCTACGCTCGAGGCGGCCGCCGTGTCCCCGCATCGAGGCCGCCGGTGGTCGTCGGGCGGGTATCCCCGCTTGGTGGTGCAAGCCCGCGTTGTGCCACCATATTGCGTTTGCAGCGAGAACGTCCTCGCTCATCGTCAATTTGGACGTCGTGGGGGAACTCTATGCCTGAGCTCCCGCGGGGAGAGGAGCTCCCGAAGGATGCCCGCATCCTCACGCCTCCCCCCACTTTTTGTTCGACCCCATGCACGTAGCCATCACGGCCGCCGTCGGCAAGCTGCTACGCCCGCCACACCTCCTCTCTTTCCCCCCTCCATCACGTGCGGTGAGAGTGAGTGAATGGATAAGGGGTCAGGTGGGGGGATGGGATGAGCCTGGGATGCAAGACGTTCGCGGCGACGTTGTTGTGTTCCGAACGAAAAGAAAACGCTGGTGGCTGATCTCCTTGCTTTAAGATTCGTGTTTGAAAATCAATGGTCCATACGACGTTCGGTACCAAATCCTTAAATTTTGACATCCGGGTGTTATCTTTTCCATAAGTTTTTTGGTGGTCTGACATTGCACGCACTGCTATTACTGCCCTATAATATTTTAGAAAAAATCAATTGAATTTTTTGTTTTTTTAGCCTGTGCAAGGCCGTTTGATTTCTTTTCTTTTAGAATATATAAGATTAGATGGTGCAATCTAAGAAGGATAAATTATTTGCGTTTACCTACAGTTAACGTATGGCTGGAGGGCTAGTTGGCTTGCTATGGGAAGAATGGGGGATCCAAGTCCTGGTCCTGCTGAGCTTTATGTTGCAAGTTTTCCTCCTCACCTTCGCTGGGATACGTCGGCGCAAAGCTTCCGCGGTGTTGAGGCTCGTTCTTTGGCTAGCGTATCTGCTGGCTGATTCCACCGCGATATACGCCCTTGGCTGCATATCTGTCACCAGCAGATCCCTTGAGCACAGGTTGGTTGTGTTCTGGGCGCCGTTCCTGGTGTTGCACCTGGGCGGTCAGGACACAATCACCGCCTACGCCCTTGAGGACAACCGACTATGGCTGCGCCACTTGCTTACTATGGTAGTGCAGGTCCTGTGGACTGCTTATATTGTATACAAGGCCATGGCTGGTGCAGATACTTTTCTCCTTCTGGCCACCATGTTCATGTTCATCGTTGGTGTGGTCAAGTATGGCGAAAGAACATGGGCACTCAGGTGTTCTAATATGGCCAACATCCGAAGCTCACTCAAGAGGACCGGTGTCAAAAACCATTTGTGTGGTCAACTTCAAGGTATCAAAGGGGATCTGGATCAAGAAAACCTTTTGTTGCTTGCTCACTCTGTCTTCGACATTTCCAAGGCATATATGGTTGATTCTTCAGTTGAGGTGGCTCCAAGTCCAAGCGATGATGATTCGACAGGACTTGTATCCTTTGGATGGAAGGAGATCTGCACATTGGTCGAGCTGGAGCTCTCCCTCCTGTATGACATCCTATATACTAAGGCGGCAGTGATCCACACATGGTACGGACTTTTCATCCGTGTGACTGCACTATCTACAACCCTGGCAGCATTTTTGCTGTTTCAGTTGAGTATAAAAGATGGCTTCAGTGAAGTGGATATCACTGTCAGTTACATCTTGGTGGTCGGCGCCTTGCTCCTAGAGATCGCATCAGTGCTCAGGTCAATTGGATCGACATGGACATGTGACTTGATGCATTCAAGAAAATGGCATCGCCTTCTTCATATGGCTGTTTCTCTTCGCCGGTGTGTCGGGGCGCAAAGCTACAGAAGTTGGTCTGGCACCATTTCACAATACAACCTGTTACACTTGTGCACCCGCGACACGATGGATCTCAGTAGCAAGCTAACAAAGAAGATGGGGCTAGAAGACTTGTGGAAAGAGGTGCATTTCTCGGGGACCCTTTCTATGTCATCAGATGTCAGAGAGTTGGTGTTCATGCAGATCTTGGAAATTATGGAAAGCTCAGAGGACGCGGTAAGGAATGAGAGGGGTGGCTGGGTACTACGTCGTTCTGGATTATATAGTGACCTCCGTTGGAGCATCGACGCTGATTACCATGAGAGCATCCTCATATGGAGCATTGCTACAGATATCGTGATCGTCTGCGGCGAGCAGGCCAATCTCGAGGAATCAGCGAGTCTCCGTAAGGCAACCTCGGCATTGTCCAATTACATATTGTTCCTCCTTGTAGCACTCCCCTCCATGCTGCCTGGACCCCTTCGCCGCAACCTGTATGAGCAAACCTGCAATGACTTGGTTGATATATGGCATCGTCACGGCTCGACAGAGCCCAGGGATCAAGCATCTTTTGGATGCAACTTCGTCCATACACTGAAGAAACTATTCAGCAAAGATAGCCCCAATTCTTCAAGGCACCGGGAGAGGGAGAAGCTTGCCAGGATCCTACTAAGTAAGAAGCACAATTTACAGACTAACGACTCTCCCGGCCGTACCCTCCTTCTCGGAATTCAATTGGCCGATCAGCTTCTCAGCAAGGAATCGGATGTGCCGAACTTGTTGCAAGTGATCTTTGGGGTGTGGGTGGAGACATTGTGCCATGCAGCCAACCGATGTAGCAGAGACTCCCATGCCAGGCAACTTAGCAATGGCGGTGAGCTGACATCAATCGTGTGGCTTATGTCAGGTCTTGTTGGATGCCTGCCTAAAAGGCAGCCAGGCTTGTAATTGAGATAATCAAAGAACAAATAAAGTTCCTCCCTCATTATCCTTCGGTCGCTAGATTAAGCAAGGCCACGACGGACGGCACAGAAGGCTGACTAGTACGGCTAGTTACCTAACGTCTGTTCTTGGAACCATGTTCAAGGAATGTCTGTATGTTCAAATTTAGTGGATGGTAGCTTAAGAAGGTCAGGACAAGCAACAGTTTAGCGTCTTTAGTTCTTGTAACTGTTTCGGCAAACATATTGTGTACGTTTAACAGAACACCGTCCTGACATGCAGGCCCACAAGCACATAATTGTTCAATCTACAAATTAAAACAAGAAAATATCTGCTCCCACAACAATAAAGACGAGCAAAATGTTCCCAGCAGCTATAAAGTTCATGTACAACAACATACGATAAGAAGAGGAGAATGAACTTGCACAGTCACAATGCAAGCTCAGCCTTCAAGGTCTCATCCTAGGAATCAATTTTGTTGCATACTAGTGGATGATGGATGGAAAACAACAGTGTTTCAACAACAATGAAAACCATTGTCCCTTCGTAACCCATCATTTTCCCACAACATCTTGCAATTACCTTTTGCAGTAAAAATACATTAAGAAACTAGAGCTGGTATGACATAGATTGAGCACATCAGACATCCGGCACAGGCATAATACTTACTATGAATATACACTATCATTTCACAAATTCTATCTAACATGCTTCTACAGTATCTCTATATACTAACCATATACAATACACTAACTAATAAAATAATGAACAGTAATAATAAAACTATCATCGACATCGCAAAAAACATAATCATTTCATCGAGCAACTAAAGGGAGGTCAAAATCACACCTTGGTGAAGGAGGAGGCCGCCTGCTGGAGGAGGAGGCTGCTGCAGCTTGGTGGAGAAATGTTGGCATGCTGGATGCATACATAGTCTCCTCGGCCACAGGTGTATGTGACCATCTGCAGTTGGATACCTATCGCTGCGCGATGGATGAGGAAGAAGGCTTCGTGGGTGGTGATGGAGGTGGACAGGGGCACGGGGCAAGATGAAGCCGCCATACGTGGTGGCGACCGGATCCAGTGTATAGGAACTCTACCATCTTGGAGGGTAGTAACTGCTGCGTAGGAGGCCAGTGGCGCATTGGAGAAGGCCGGAGGAACGGTATTCTGTCTATCATTTTCTCTTGGGAACAGATTAGGACCGCGGCCATCCATTCACTCTTCAAGAAAATTGTTTCACAGACACTAAATTAATAGAATGCACTAAATGTACTAACATATTAGGTAAAACCTCCAAAGAAAACCCTATATCTATTCAATGGGAGTCAACATCCATAAGGCTGGTCATAGTGAGAAATATCCTACACTAGTATCATGCATATGATACCACCCCTATAATGCACGATATCATCTAGTAGTACCATAGTCTCATAACATTTAATTATTTATAGAACCCCAATGCAAATTTGTGCACAAGATGCATTTGCCATTAAATTTTCTAGTTCTACAAGCTATCAAACGGTATTATATTATGATACCACTACTGACGTAGCATGCATGATACTACCACTATGGCCAGCTAGCCTAAGTTTAATCTCCAGTGTTATTTAAGTGATCATGAACAAAGTTCATAAGTTCAATCTTAGACTGTTTTTTGAGTGGAACTCAAAGGACTGCTGTACCAATGCACACCCCTTGTATCTGGCTGATCCTACATGAGTTTCCTCAACTCTTTTTAGTTGTGTCTAAATATAAGTTGTTCTGTGGTCTATTGGCATATTCATCTTCCTTTTCTTTTCTTGTTTATTGTGATCAGTCACTAAGGAAGCAATTATAATAAGTATAATATGTAAAAAAAAATTGATCAAAGAAGGGCTTCCTTCTTCCAATTTTCATTACTGAAAACCAAGTTTACCTAGTTCAAAAGGACGAGCAGCATACCGACAGGTTCAACAGCATAACAAAAGACGAATGCAACCGGCCAACAGTATAATATGTAAATAAGAGGACTTATGAGAATATAATAAAATTTATTATCCTAGAGAGGCAATTAAGGGAAACAGTTCATTTTTTTTGCATTGAGAACCATGCGACATTTTGTTGGGCTAGCAGCTTGCATCTGCGAGCTCGCCCACACCCACATTCGAGTCTGAGACTTGGCATGGGTGCCACTCATCTGATTACAAATAATCTTTTCGCTGGTGCTCATGGCTTTCCTTTTTTTCATATAAAAGTATTCTTGTGTTGCGACTCACAACATGCCATCTTTTTGAAGTTTGTGGAGGGCGCAGCTAGGCGTGCAATGGCTAGACGACTGATGGACCTTTGGAATGAATGGGAGATCCAAATCCTGGTACTTGTCAGCTACACATTGCAAGTCATCCTTGTTGCCCTCGCCAGGAACCGTCGGCTCCAGGCCTCTGCCGTGCGGAGGTTGGTCCTCTGGCTTGCATACCTGCTGGCAGACTCCGCAGGGTTATATGCCATCGGCCACATATCCCTCAGCAGCAGGCTTCCTGAGCACCGGCTGGTTACTTTCTGGGCACCGTTTTTGCTGCTGAACCTGGGTGGCCCGGACAACATCACCGCCTATTCACTCGATGACAATCGACTCTGGTTGCGCCACATGCTAACTATGGTAGTGCAGGTCCTGGGAGCTGCATATATTGTCTACATGTCTGCCACTGCCAACGGGACATTTGTGTTTATCGCTTCCCTCTTGATGTTCACTGTCGGTGCTGTAAAGTATGGGGAGAGGACATGGGCACTCAAGCGTGCGAACCTGGAGAGTATCCGGAGTTCTCTCAACAAGGCCTGTGGCAAGGAGTACTGTTATGCTAAGCCTAAAGGTGCCAAAGGAAAGATTGATGATGAAGCCCTCCAGATGACTGCTCATTCCCTGTTTTATACCATTTGCATGCAAGCCCTAGTTAGTTCTTCATCGCCCACCAAGACAAGTCTAGGTGAAGACAGCGTTCATGTAATGAAATATACCTTTGGATGGCAGGATATGTGGAAGATGGTTGAAATGGAACTCGCGCTGATGTACGACATACTGTACACCAAGGCTGCAGTGATCCACACATGGTCTGGCTACTGCATCCGGGCCATTTCACCACTCATCATCACAGCTGCGTTTTTGCTCTTTCAGTTCAGTGGAGAAGATAGTTACAACAAGATGGACGTCGTTGTCACTTATGTTTCATTTTGTGGTGCCTTCATTCTGGAGCTATCGTCGCTGCTCGGAGCTATGGGATCAAGCTGGACAAGGGCAGGGGAAGGGCAACGAGCCTGGCTTCCCCGTCTCCACCGGTGTGTCAATTATATCAAGTTAGGGAACCACACGAGGTGGCCAAGCACCATTGGGCAGTATAACTTGCTGCACTTGTCCACCCGTGATACAAACGAGCTTGGCAGCAGAGCCGCAAAGAAGATTGGACTCGAAGACTGGTGGAACAAACAGCACAACAAAGGGAAACTTACGAGTACTGTGGATGTCAACAAGTTGGTTTTCAAGCATATATCAAGAACATTGGAGAATGAAGACTCTTTGGACGTGCTCAGGAAAGAGAGGGGCCGGGTGACACTGGAGAGGAGTGGATTGTATGATGATCTTCACCGTACTATCGAGGGAGAATTTCATGGGGGCATTATCACCTGGCACATCGCCACTGATGTCTTCCTCTGCAAGAGCAAGCAAGCCAGGGGACAAGATGCAACACCAATTGTCAACGCGGTTCGGACCCTCTCCAACTACATGATGTTCCTCCTAGTGGCACGCCCCTATATGCTGCCAGGCCTTGTCCTCCAAAGCCTGTATGAGCAAACCTGTAATGGTTTGCTCGATCTGTGGCATCAGGATGGCTCAACTGACACCGATTGTCAAGCATCTTCTCACTCCTTAAGCCGCCCCAACAGCTGGAACTTAATTTACCTGCCTAAGAAAATTTTCCAGGCTGACGATCCAAATTCTTCCAGGCTCCCCGAGAGAGAGAAGCTTGCCCAGATCCTGCTCAACAGAAACGCTGGCTCGCTGAATGACAACACCGCTAGAAAACCTGGCCTTGTTCTAGCTGCTCAGCTGGCGGATAAGTTGCTAGCCAAGGAGATGGAGATGGATGTGCCAGATATGTTGGACGTCATCCTTGGAGTGTGGGTGGAGATGCTATGCTACGCAGCCAACCGATGTAGCAAGGATGCCCACGCCAGGCAGCTCAACAGCGGCGGCGAGTTGACGACCATCGTCTGGCTTCTCACAGAGCATGCTGCCCTTTTCCCCGTCGACGAATCTCGCAATTGTGCCCTGATAGAATGAGCTAAACATGTCTACCAAGTTTACCTCTATTTAATTTACACGCTAATAGCAACCACTTGTATCTAGTTATTTCAAATTATTTGAGACAGAGGTAATTGGCAACTTGTACAATATGCAAACTAGATTTGTGAATGCATTGTCTTTTGACTCCAGAACCACTGCTAATCATCATGCAGATAAGAGCAAACCAACAATGCCTGGTTGTTGAGTTTACACTAGTACATATACGGCCATCACTAACGGCCCAGAGAATTTTTTTTTCTTTTGAAGGTGGATATTCTTTCTGCCACGGGGACTGGATCTGCCATTTTCCCCAAGTTTCACATGTGGGAAAAAAAAATACCAGCCTCCAAAATTGCATTTCAAAGCTGGCTTCACCACTGCCGGAATGCAATCTGGAATTATCACAAGCGCTAGATTCAAGCGAGGCACCAGACAGCAAGGTGCCAACATTCAAGCGAAGCACCCGGCTGCAATACCCATTTTATTATCCTATTACAAAAGCTAGCAGATTGGCCTACGTAAGTTGCACAGCTAGATTTATTACGCATATGATTGTATTCAAAGGTATATAATGTTATAGTTTAATATTTTCAAAATTAAACATATTTTTACCAAGGTTCAAAAAACGCTATGGTGTGAACTGCATTTTAGATGCTATTTCAGTTCCCTATATGCTATGTTTCCTACTTTCATGTGCATGCCATCAAAAAACAGTCAAATTCAGTCAAAATTTGAAATCTCTTAAGCGGCCATCCATAAAGGCTCAAGCAAGGCAATCCTGTATAGTTCTGTTTTTGATGAGTATCCACACTGGTTTATGTGAATAAGCTTGAGAATTACTTTATTAAGTCTGTTAGCTAGGAGCTCCGTGGATGAGAGGGAAGATAAGCGTGTGGAAAAAGTTGAGTTGTCTGGAAAAACTGGCCCAATCCTTCTGCGCCACAAAACAATCTTTCTTGACGAAAAGGAAATGGGCGTAAATCATGGATGGAAGCTACAGCATGGGCCAGGAACGGATGGATCATCATGTATGTGCATGTTGTAGCCTTATAGCCCTGGTAGGAACTTGTACCCTACCAGGCCTGGGGCGTAAGCGGTACGGGAAGGAGGGGGCTGGGCGAGGCGATGAGCGGCCGCGCCGGCGGCTGGGCACCGTCGCGGGAGAGGAAGAGGGCGGCATCGGCGCAAGAGGAAGGGGGCAGCTAGGGTTCCGGCTCCTCTGGGAGCCGGGCAATAGAGATAATATTCTTCTTATTGCTTAATTTCAAAAAGAGTCTTACAGCCTATATTTATAACCTAGATAACTTGCATAAGAATTAACCTAAGATAACTTGCATAAGAATTAACCTAAGATAACTTATGGGCTAAGATTGCCCGGTGGGCCTAGCTAAACCGGCCATAACACTTCTCCCCGCCTGCACAAACAGCTCGTCCTCAAGCTGTAAGGTGGGGAAGCGCTTGTGGAACTCCTTGAGGTGATCAACCAGCGTCAAACACCTTCTTGACAGCTGGGGTGGCCAGGTCGGTGGCGACAGCGTCCTCCGGAATGTAGACTGCAACCTCCAGGTAGAAGAGTCGTGGGCAGGCGTGGCCGGGCGTGTAGGGCTCGTCGCAGTTGAAGCACAACCCTTGGCGGCGACGCTCGAGTATCTCGGCTGAGGTGAGCCGGCGGAACGGGCGCGCCGCGGTCGCGGCGAGGGGTGCCGCAGAAGCCTGCGCAGGCCGACCCTGCGCGGAATCCGGCCCGGGTAGCGACCCAGCGGTCCGGGACGATGATTCCTCCTGGATGGCCACCGCGCGGCGCTCGAACGTGCGGGCGTAGTACATGGCCGACTGGAGATCCTGGGGTCCCCGAAGCTCCACGTCCACGCGGATGTGATCCGGAAGTCCACCGACAAAGAGGTCGGCGCGCTACTGCGCCGTTACGCCCGACACATGGCACGCCAATGCCTAGAAGCGGTCGGCGAAGTCCTGCACCGTAGAGGTGAAGGGAAGGCAGCCGAGCTCCAACAGGCGGCTCCCGCGAACCGGGGGCCCAAAGGGGAGGAGGCAGAGCTCGCGGAAGCGCTCCCAAGAAGGCATGGCACCCTCGTCCTGCTCGAGATTGTAGTACCACGTCTGTGCCGCGTCGCGGAGGTGATAAGAGGCAACCAAGTCCGCTCCGAAGCGAGTGTGCGCTGCCCGCGAAAGAACTGGTCGCACTGGTTGAGCCAGTTGAGGGGGTCCTCCGTGCTGTCATAAGTGGCGAAGTCGATCTTGGCGAACCGCGGCGGTGCCTGGGAGGGAATGCCGTGTCAAGCTGGCTCGGAGGTGCGGAGCAGCGAGGAGGGTGGCGCTTGGTCGGAGTACTCCGGGTATGGACCCGCAGAACCGGAGGGCCCCCCGAACTGCGGAAACGGAGTCGGCTGTTCGGGGGCCGTGGTGTAGACCGGCGATGGCGAAGACCTAGCCGCCCACGCTGGAAGTGGCGACGGGGAGGGCGGGAACCGGACCTGATGAATCGGGAGGCCGGTCGGCGAGGGTGCCCCCGAGCTAGGCAGGGATTGCGCCGGTGGTTGTAGCGTCGGCGGCGGAGGGTGGGCGGTGGCGTCGGTGGCCGCGGGGGACGGTGGCTGCAAGTACCACAGAGGGGCCGCGGCCAGCATGGTCCCGCCGGAGTGTCCCGCCTGGGACGGTAGCAGCGGCAGCCCGGTGCAAGCCGGCGCGGTTGTCCCCGAGCTGATCAAGGACGGTGAGGGCGCGGAGCACGGCTGCGGCGGTCCGGTGGCCGCCGCTTGCGGCATCTGCTGTAGCGGCCAGGGGGCCGTTGATGGCGTCGACGCGAAGGGCCAGAGGGGCGCCGCGGCAGCCGGAGGGTCGTCCGGTGGAGCCGCCTGGAACAACAGCATCAGGGGAGCGCCGTACGGAAAAACACCCTGGAGCGGCCACGGCGTGTGGCCGTAGGCAGCAACGGGCGCCGTCGGAAGGGGCATGTAGGGCCCGGCCGTGTACTGCTGCTGCTGCGGGTGGAGGCTCTGGACGGTGGTCACGAGATCCCGCAGGGTGGCCGTGACCTGCTCCGGTGTGAAGACGGCGAACGGCGGTGGCGCGGAGGGTACCGGGGAGGGGGCGCGGGCGGGGCCCCGGTGGAGACGTGGCCCGCCAGCGCCGTTGTCCCGGCGGCGGACGTCATCGGCGCGGTGAGGGACGGCGCCGTCGTCATCCGAGCGGTGGAGCCGCTAGACAACGTCGGCGATGGTGGTGGCAGTGACATGATCCGAACTTGGTCTCTGATACCAAATTGGTAGGAACTTGTACCCTACCAGACCTGGGGCGTAAGCGGTAAGGGAAGGAGGGGGCTGGGCGAGGCGACGAGCGGCCGCGCCGGCGGCTGGGCGCCGTTGGGGGAGAGGAAGATGGCGGCAGCGGCGCAAGAGGCAGGGGCAGCTAGGGTTCCGGCTCCTTTGGGAGCCGGGCAATAGAAATAATATTCTTCTTATTGCTTAATTCCAAAAAGAGTCTTACAGCCTATATTTATAACCTAGATAACGTGCATAAGAATTAATCTAAGATAACTTGTGGGCTAAGATTGCCCAATGGACCTAGCTAAACCGGCCATAACAAGCCCACTGGACCAAAATGCCTAACACCTCACTGTTCTTCATTTTATTTATTTTCTTAGTAAGCATATTGCACATCATGCTTCAGGTCTTGGAGTCTAGAATAACAAGACTTGTTATCCAATGAGACTTGTACAAAGTGAAACTCATTTGGTCGCTTGCTGGAGAAGGAAAAAAAAGGGGTGGGGGCGAGAGGCTTACCATACGAGAGCTAGCAGATTTTGCCGAGCTTCCTCTGCTCTACAGTTCATACGTCTTGTGCTCCATCCATCTGGATCCCAGTTAATTAGTAAGTACTGTAGAGGAATCATCCTGCACATGTGCTTCCTCCTCCATCTCTACGGATAAACAACATCTTTCTTGGTCACCTCCATTTAGTCACATATATACATTCAGATTCAGCAGTGGATTCGGACGGATCTTTCTTGGTTAGTGTTGAGGGGACGACTGCATTTTTGGTGGTGGGAGCTGACGAGAAGAGGAGGACAGAGGATTCCTCACCTCACCTCCCCACGGGCGGAAGGCTCTGAACCGTCGTCCTCTTCGCATGAATAGATCCGCCGCCGTCGGTCGCCGGCATCGGACCCTCCGCCTCCTTCTCATCTCTGGTCTGTGACGAACCACTACAAGAAATATGTCAACTAGTGACCTTGAAAGAATTGGTCATAGATCTATGACCATTTGAGACCAATTGGTCAAAAACTGTTCGGGGGGCTCTAAACCCTAAACCATTGCGACCATTTTGGTCAGAAAGGTCGTAATTTCCTTACATAAAATGGTTATAAAGCAAACAATGCTGATTCGCTGCCTTATTTCTAGTTGTTAACGTCCAATATAGATGGTCATAGCCTTGTAGATTGTGGTGGGTTGTGGTGACTAGGCGCCATCTCATCAGTTTTGCCTATGTGTCATGTCCATGTGTCAATTTTTGCCCTAGGTTGTGAAGCAACCTATATTTCTGTTATTCCAAAAATTCCCAAAAAAATCTCATAAATTGTTTGGATTATATCTTCATCAAATATGTCAAAAACCTTCCTTGCCTAGTTCAAAAATAACTCAATAATATTCATTTTCCTATTTTGTTTAGAGCAGCACTTTGTGAATGAAGTGTTATTTATATATTCTTGATTTTCCTAAAAATTTGTGAAGACATTCTTCTTAGTATATGATTATCCTCAGCCAAAACTCATGCCCATTGGCCATGTGCATTTCCCGTACCGCTAATCAAACACTTGGCTGATAATTCATGTTTGTGCATAGTTCGGTCTCCTCGTGAGAATCTTATGTTATAATTTTCTTCCTAGCACCTACCTGGGGAGTGACCAACTCACTAGATATGCCTAGGCCGCCTAGAACGCATGGCAACACCACGGTCACGCGGTGACCACACGGCGGGAT